AATAAGTTTGTTCATTTGACTCAGCCGCGCAGTTTTCATTCTACATTTCACGAATTTGAATACTGATTTGTATCGTTTAAAAATAAAAAATCTTAATATATCTTAAAAATCTAGGAGACTAGTTTCTATCACAGCACAGATCTAAAAGTATAACCCAATCAGCGCGGAGCGCTCACTGAACAACTTTCTCAGCTGAACGCGGCCATTGTTAAAGCCCGATATGATAGCCAATTGCGTGTCAGTCGATAAATCGAAACTGCTCCAATGTCGCTTATCAACGTCGCCGCTTGAGAAAACGGCTTAACGTTCAGCTGATGGCGGACCAAGCGTACGCCGGTGCTGTAAGCCATTGAAAACAACATCTCGTACGAAAACTCGATCAGCTTGACGCTTCGTCGCCAGCGTGTCACAATTATCGGGTAAATATTCAGTTTACGAACCTCGCCTTGGATCTTAATAAGAAACACCTACTCACTCGGCGTGTCTTTACGTAAAACTAGGGAGAATGTCGACCGACTTCTACATACGCTACTACGTCGGCCACAAGGGCAAGTTCGGGCACGAGTTCCTGGAGTTCGAGTTCCGGCCGGACGGTAAGCTGCGCTACGCGAACAACTCCAACTACAAGAACGACACGATGATTCGCAAGGAGGCGTATGTGCACCAGTGCGTGATGGAGGAGCTCAAGCGGATCATCCAGGACTCGGAGATCATGCAGGAGGACGACTCGCTCTGGCCGCAGCCGGACCGCGTCGGCCGCCAGGAGCTGGAGATCGTCATCGGCGACGAGCACATATCGTTCACCACCTCCAAGACCGGCTCCCTCCTGGACGTCAACCAGTCGCGCGACCCGGAGGGTCTGCGCTGCTTCTACTACCTCGTGCAGGATCTCAAATGCCTCGTGTTCTCCCTGATAGGGCTGCACTTCAAGATCAAGCCCATATAGGCGGCGCCAGACGATTCCAGAGACTTCTGTATACTCCCCGACTCCCCCCGCCCCCACCTTTTGCTCCCTTTTATTTTAACAAAATAAACGTAATTGTTTGTACTCGTCTGTGCTTCCTTTCGCCCGCTGACGAAACCCGGTCCGGGCTGGACTCGGGGAAATTAGTAATTGCGTCTGTTCTTCCGTAAATCACGGCCTGTCGACGTTTGCAAGCGAAGCGGGTATTCAGTTTTGTATTTACGCTACAGTGAAAGTGCCGAGTGAGTAGCCTCGAGAATCAATTCTGAAAGTCGGTTCTGTATCTTGGGACATTGTGAAGATGCTAGAAGTGAGTGGTTTCGTCTCTTTCTAAAGGGACGGTCGGAAGGAGACAGAGCCGTTCACTTCTAGCATTTTCACCATACAGCGTAAGATACAGAACCGACGCCCCGTATCTCGCAACATAGTGAAAGTGCTAACGGTTTTCTCTCTCTTTTTTTTCAAGGGAACAGTTCGAGAGAGACAAGGCTACTCGCTTTTGGCATTTTTACTATAGCGCAAGATACAGAATTGACCCACCTAGTCAATCTTAAGCCCGCTACAGACGATGCTAGTCGTATTAGATTGCTTGCAATCTAATAAATTACTACCATTGCACCATTCAGCATTCAAGATTTCTAATAATTTACTAAAGGCTGGTCTACAATACGTGGAGTAAGGGAGAGCCCTAACTTCTAGCTTTTGGTGTAAGGAAGCTGAAATAC